AATAAAATGAAATATTAAAATCACAATGTATCTCGTTGCATTGCACGAGTGCGTTTCTAATATATATTTATATATAATATAATATATTATTAAATCAACTTTATTTTTTATAAATTTTAAATGCAGCACGATTCCCAAAAATTCAACATGCACTCTCCATTAGTAATTGTATTAAAATCAATGTCTAACTCGAACCTGAACCTGAAACTGAAACTGAAACTGAATAAGCTATAAATAAATAAATTACTCAACATTGCCTCAGAATCTTTTGATTAAAATACTGTTCTTTGTTCCCTCTTCCTCTCTCTATATACTGCTTTTTCTACATCTCTGTGTGTGTAGAGATACATAGAATGGGAGAAGTCACAGTGGTGCCTACAAGGAAGCTGGGATCTCAAGGTTTTGAGGTTTCAGCAATCGGTTTGGGATGTATGGGCATGTCTCCTCTACATGGCCCTACTAAATCTGAAGAAGATATGATTCAAGTCATTCAGACCGCCATTAAACTGGGTATCACATTTCTTGATACCTCTGATCTCTATGGCCCCCACACCAACAGTACCATCATCGGCAAGGTCAGTGATCTTGTATATTCCTTTTCTGATGTCTGAATATTTTGAGCTGATACTGAATGGAAATCAATTAGGGCAGGCTCTGAAGGGGGAAATGAGACATAAAGTCCAACTGGCTACCAAATTTGGGATTAAGTCACTCTCTGGTGAGACAGGGATGGTGGTGTGTGGGGATCCTGCATACGTCAAGGAATCCTGCTATGCAAGTTTGAAGCAACTTGGGATCGCCTGTATCGATCTTTATTATGTTCATCGTGTTGATACAAGCATCCCTATTGAACTCACGGTATACCTAATAAAACTGAATTGTTGGTGAAGTTATGGAATGTGTACGATGTCGACCATTTTTCAATTTCTGATGCTAGATGGAAGCATTGAAGGAGCTGGTTGAAGAAGGCAAGATCAAATACGTTGGTCTTTCTGAAGCTTCGCCACAAACAATCAGACGGGCACACGCAGTTCATCCGATAACAGCTGTTCAGCTAGAATGGTCCTTGTGGACAAGAGATGCTGAAGAGGAAGTGATTCCTACTTGCAGGTGGGTTGTCTGGATTGAGTTCAATTTCAAACAACTTCAAAAACAAATGTCTTTCTAACTCCTTGTTTGCAGAGAACTTGGAATCGGGATAGTCCCATTCAGTCCTCTAGGGAAGGGATTCTTTTCATCTGGTCCAAAGGTGGTCGAAAACTTTGCAAGCAACGACTTCCGAAGGGTTTGTGCCTATAACTCCCATCTATCTGTCTCTATGAGATTATAAACTTATGCTAACCTTTGTGATTTGAATTAAAACCAATTTTTAACTTTAGAACCCCCGATCCCATCAGAACTTTGCAGTTAAACATATGACACGACTAGTTTTGGATGGGTGACCCTCTTTTCATGTTGCACCCCTTTTGGGCAGATTCTGATAATTCATCATCCTTTGCAGCATCTACCGAAATTTCAGGGAGAAAACCTTGAGCACAACAAGATTGTGTTTGAAAGGGTGAATGAAATGGCAAGAAAGAAGGGATGCAGCCCGGCTCAGCTAGCGTTGTCGTGGCTACTACACCAAGGGGGTGACGTTTGTCCGATACCTGGTACGACCAAAATCGAAAACCTGAAGCAAAACGTTGGATCTGTTGTTGTAAAACTAACAAGGGAAGACATGTTGGAACTTGAATCAATGGCAGCAGGTGTGAAAGGGGATAGGTATTCACCTGCAGTAATGCAAGATACTTGGAGGTATGCGAACACTCCACCTTTATCATCTTGGCAACCTGCATGAACTCTTGAATTGTAGCTAAAATTTTCACATCTTGAGATGTGGTTTCTAAATAGAATGCGGTTGAGACTTTTAGCCACTTGGCATGGCTAGTTGTGCATGTAATCAAAATAAAAACGGTTGCTGCATGCGTTTTGTTTAAAGTCATGGGTGTCCGAGCCAACTTGTGTGTGTTTCGACCGATCTTGTGGGTTTGAATGTTTCTACTAATCTGAAGATAACAGACAGAAAAATCCTCAATGGCCTTGAGGAAAAAAGAATTGTCGATCTAACGTAATTGTTGGATAAAAGTCGTTGAGGTTTAAGATGTCACAATGGTCCCAGAATCGAATAAAGCATAATCACCAACAATCTAATGCAGAAAGAATAGGATCAAATAGTAAGATGACAAACCAAATTGCGTTGTAAACAACTAAAGAAAGCAGAGCAATAATGCTTACAATTAACGTGGTTCCACTATTGATATGATGGTTTACCTAAGCTAAGGTCTCTCTTAATTTCGTGCCTTACAACGGGGAATGTAGGACTGTTTCGTATAATGTTCTTTTTAAAGGTTTGTCAAATGAATTAGAATTTAAGGGATCGGAATTTGGAATGGAATTAAATTTGATTTTATTACACCGGAATGAAACTCATTTCTATTCATTTACGTTGTGTTCTAGAATTTAGAGATATAAGAAAAGAAGATAATTAGTTTATTTTTGTTCTCGAAAAAATAAGGAAAGGTAAGGAAAAGAAAGAACATAAATTTTCATGTTCTTGAACATGATAGAAAAGAAAGAAAAATGTCATTTTTACGAATATATCTTTTAAAAACTAGAACGATACTCGCGTAATGCATCGAAATACATCTTGATTTTAATATTTTATTTTATTTTTTATCTTAGTCGATGTTATAGCATGGTCTTATGTGATAGTGAATAACCGATAATGTTTTTATTTTTGAATAAAATATAAATTTGAATTTTGACAATAATATATCGATATTAGTATCAAATTAACTATTTAAAATTCCTATTTTTTATGTAATTTTTTAATTCAATTTTTTTATTATAATTTAATTTAGATTCAATAATAAAATAACTTATATTTGGTTTAATAATATAATTTTCTTTTAAAGATAATAATTAATTATTTTGTTAGAACTCGATAATTATCCTAATTATATTTTAGATTTTTTTTATATTTTAAAATGAGATGTTTATCCCCTATTTGATTATATTTATCCGTAATTAGTTACACGAATTCAAACATTGAACTTTAATAAGTTGTACTTATGCATAATTACTTGTAATCTTGAATTTTAAGTAATATGCATCAATATACAATACTTTATTCATAAAAAAATGGTTTTTAAGAGTTTTTGTCAAATGTTTTATAATATAGTATAGATGTATCATTCATAATTAAAGACCGGGTAGTTTTGTAAGTGTAATAAATTTTTTTAAAATTTAATTTATTTCCTTATCTTTCCTCCCATATTTGGAAGAAAATTTTGGGAGGAAATTATCATTATTTTCCTACCATTTCATTTCCGTTCTTTCACAAAAAGTATTTTCCTCCCCTTCCATCCCTTTCCTTTCATTCGTAAAAAAGTTTCAAGAACACATCATGAAAGGTTATGTGTAATTTGTAAAATGTAGTTTTAGAATTGAAGGTAAATAATAATAACTTACAAAATTACCCTTTATTATTATTTAATAATAATAACATAATAATATAAAATAGCAATATTAATAGTAATAATGGATAGGTTCTTTACCTTTGGATCATTCCTGTATAAAACACAATTCATGGGATGGGATGGGATGGGATTAAAAGTGATCGACGTTTCTCAAGTTAACTCTAATTTTGATACAATCCTTCATCTAGTAATAACATGAGTTTTGATTTGTTAAGAGGTAATTCTATTTGCTAACTTTAAAGTGATGGAATGACATTTAATTTCACAGAAAATGCTACGCGAATTCATTCCACCAGTGGGATTTACACATATATTACTTTGTAATCTTGAATTTTAAGTAATATGCATCAATAAATAATCCTTCATGCATAAAAAAATGGTTTTTAAGAATTTTTGTCAAATACTTTACAATATAATATAGATAGTAGTAGTAAAACAAATTAATAAATAAAAGAGATACCAATTTTTATAATACTTAATAGGACCCAAAAAGAATTTTCTATTATATTAACGACCCAAACATGTATTACTTAATTACATTGGAAAATAATTATATGAAAAAAGTTTGGTTGTTCATTTTATAGGCTTAGTGTTTCTGCACGTTTTTTATTTAGTATAAAAGTCTAAAACTACTTTTCTATAAAACCTTGATATATTCTCCATTATTCATCTTTCACTTACGGTTTTTATTATTCCATTTGTATTAAGTCTATTTTTACATTAGGATATTGTAGATTTCTTGTTATGAATTAAGAAACTCATTTGGGAAAAAAATTACCAACCATATGAGATGGTTCAACTTATATTTATATTCAAGGTTTCAAAACTACCATTGGTTTTTCATACATTATTGATTCTTATTACCTAATACTGAATGTATGAGTCTTAAGCATTTTTGCTATATCTAAAACAAGAATATGATCTCAAGCTATAACCAACATCGGTTTTTGATTCCAAGATTAGTGGTTCACAAAAAATTTGTTTTAACCCTGAAAGTTTAAAACAGTAATGGAAACATTAACCTGAGCTGAGATGAAAAACCAACTGATTTATATTGATTTACATAGAGTGTTACTCCGAATAATCAACATTGCGGCCCCAGATGACATTAATCTGTATATTAAAGATATATGATATGATGTTTTTTATGATGGAAATAATTGATGATGTTATGTAAAAATTATATGGTAGATACTATTAATTTAAAATAATCATTGATTAATTTTGCATCTAAGAGTACTCAATCAAAACGGGTTTATATGAATTATTAGTATTTCTTGAATTCAATGTTATTTCTAATTATAAAAATGATAGTATTAAAGATTTTTTTTCATACTTCACAAGGGTCCTTTTTTTACATCTCGTTCAGGACCTATAAAATGTTAGGAATGGTCTGGTTAAGATTGAATTAAGGCATGTTTTGTTGTTTAAATACATTACATATAAGATAAGGAAGTTGGTAATGTAGTAATGCAATATAAGGAGAGGAATTTTGTGTTGGTACAGCCTAGTTATAACTTATAGGTCTAGGTCGCAAAATCAATTCCAATATATGTGAGTTTATAAGCGACCTTGAAGTTGTGTCCACCTACTCGAGTTACGACCCCAATCAGAATGGATAAAAATCACTTATCTCAAATTTTCATGTCTCATTCATGTCCATCAATCATATGAATACACGTAAGCAAAGAGAGAAAGTAAATATGAATTAAATAAATTTAAAATAAATGAAAATCTGTTGTGTCTTCATTGGTGGGACATGAACGAGACGTGTGAATTTAGGACAAGTGATTTCTATCCAATCAGAACAATATTATTATGGTAGTTAAGATATTGTAAGTGCTTAATATGGCGTATAGACACTTAGTATATATGGCAAAGGATTGTGTGAGAAGTGAAGGTATGGTGATAAATATAAGAAGAAATCTAAACCCTTGATCACTTTTAATCTCATGCTCACCCTTGAATTGTGCTTTAGAAGGGAAATGATCCGGTGCATCTCGGTGTACCTCATTACTGTTGACATTCAATTATGATTGATTCAAGGGTGGAGATCTCTTCTTACGTTTCTCACTATAACCTTCTTTCTCACCGGAATCCAACCCAAGTACATGCATTATGGTATGTGTATTTTACATGGTTAGGCCGAGAACTTGTGTTGGAACTTAAGCTCTATGAGGTCTATCACGTTACTCAATTATCTTTAAAGGGGTAAATGAAACGTCCCAACCCACACATTGCATGTAATACATATATTTCATATCAAAGGAATACATATTCATACACATCTGGTCTCATAGTACAAGAAACTATCATGACCAAATACAAGGTCCAAAAATTCAAAATACAATCTTGTACTAATCATCAAAACT